CAATCCCATCTAAATTGTGATATTAACATACTTCTAGAAATCTGGACAGGAGATCACTCGGACATAGCACAATCTAATTTTATTACTTTCTCTAAATGTAGAAAGAAAAATAGGAGGGCTAAAACATATAGTGGGGGCATAATTATCTATGTTAAAAACTCAATTGCTAAAGGAGTAACACATGTAAGTAAAGTCACAGCATCTTCTCATAGACAAACAATGTTTTGGTCTTGAAAAAGATGTTTTCATTTGTGCAATTTACATCCCACCAGTATCATCAAATTAGTATGAAGATGACTACCATAATATTGAGGCTGCGGTGGCATCACTAGCCACAGAAGGAAATAGTTTGCTAGCTGGAGACTTTAACTCCAGAACTGGCTTCTATCCAGATTTCACACTAAACGATGAATTATCAGAATATACTTCTCATCTTCTCCCTAACAATTATCAAGCTGACAACACTGCATACAGAAATTTTGTAGATTCAGTCACTAACCATCAGGGGAGACAACTTCTGGATTTGTGTATTTCTTCAAGCCTGAGAATATTAAATGGAAGGTTTGTCGGGAACTCCATTGGAAACTTCACATGCTATAAAAGTTTTGGTTGTAGTGATGTGGATTATATTATTGTCAATTCTAGCCTTCTCTCCTCAGTTAAATATTTTACTGTGAAACAACCTTCATATTTATCAGATCATGTTCAAATAAGAGTCACACTATCTTGTAATGTCAAGTTTGGTGGACTTAAAAAGCCTAGGCTACACACTTTAAAAGAAATAGGTGTGGAACAACATGTCTAGAAAAAAACTGGAAAATAGTCTTACTTTACCATATCTACAAAATGAAATCCTTGACTTTCAAGAGATGCATATTGTGGATAATGAGGAAAGTATTGATAAAGCTTCCGAAAAATTATGTAATTTCTATAGTGTAATGCAAGAATCCTGTATGACTATTAACTTTAAATGTAAGAAGAAAAGGAAGAAACGGTCACAGTGGACTGATAGTGAGTTTTACAGAGTACAGTAAATAATCTAGGTCAGAAGATGAAAAAACAGCCATATAATAAAGAATTGCATGCCAGTTTCTTTTTTATGGTAAAGAAATGGAAGGCAATTACAAAGGCAAAGAAAAAAATATATAAAGAAAATCTACTATGTAAACTCAATAATATTCCAGCACATGATTCTAAACAGTTTTTGGCCTTTCTTAAATCTATTAATAAAAAGCAACTAGAAAATATGGACCCTGTTAACTGGTCTGCTTTTGTTGATCACTTTAAGGACCTGGGTCGCAAACAAAAGGTCAATCCAGAATTTGATGATTATATTTCTCAAGAATTGGACACTCTAATTACAAATCCTGATACTAAACTTATAACTGACCAAGCTATTAGTATGAAGGAGATTGTGGCAAGAGTTATGACCCAGATAATATAACAAACGAGGTCATAAAGCACTATTCTCCAGTTATGCTGAATAATCTATCAAAACTATTCAATATCAATTTAAGTTGTGGTTACTATCCAGAAAGGTGGGGCAGATCACACTTGGTTCCTATATCTAAAGCTAGAGATAAAAGCCTGCCAACTAATTATAGAGGTATATCCCTTATTAGTTGTCTCAGTAAATTGTTTAATTCTATTTTAAACAAAAGACTAACTGAATTTATGGCAGGCAAATGATCAAACCTTCAATTTGGTTTCAGGAAAAAGCAAAGAACCACAGATAGCTTATTTGTACTTAAATCTCTCACTACCAAATATGTTTATGGACAAAAGAAAAAAGGATTTGCCTGTTTTGTTGATTTTAACAAGGCTTTTGACTCGGTATGGAGAAAAAGTTTGCTCTATAAGTTAGCTAGATATGGTATCGAGAGCAAACTCTTTCAAGTCATTAGTAATATGTACAAGAAAACTTCATCTGCCTTAAAATTTAATTCGTGATTCTCCGATTACTTTGATAGTTTTAGAGGACTCAATCAGGGGGATAGTATGAGCCCCTCTCTGTTCAATTTGTATGTAAATGATCTTCTTGATTTATTAAAAAATGATCCTTTAAAGCTTGTCGACTCGGAAATAGGTTGCCTTATGTTCGCAAATGATCTGGTAATATTGTCTGAAACAGCCGAGGGATTATACAAATCATTAAATGACTTATATACATATTGCAATAGATGGAAACTTTCAATAAATAACCAGGAAAAAAAGCAATGATATTCAATTCAACAAACTGTGTTTTTAAAGACTACACATTAATTATATTGGCAACCATAATATAGACAAGATTAAATAATATAAATATCTTGGAAACCTGATAAATTCAGCAGGTAAATGTACACCGTCTGTAGGAATTGTCCAACAAAGGTCTTACAGTTCTTTTTGCAATAAAAAAAATATGCAGAAAATATCACAAACTTTCCAGTAGGTGCCCAGTGTAAACTCTTTCAATCCCTTGTAAAACCTGTCCTGACTTATAATGACATGGATTTATACAAAAATATGTTAAGCAGAAAAATCAGATCAGGTAATAGCAATAAGCAGTTTGATTATTTCTCCTTTATTGATAAATCTCCTTTTGAGCAAGTACATTTGAAATTCTGTAAACATACGCTAGAGATTGGGAAAAGAGCAGTAAGTCAGGCTCCAGAGCAGAGCTGGGACATTATCCTTTTGAGACCCTTATAAACACTCAAGCATGTGGCTATTTAAGTAGAATACTACAAGATTCAGACAATTTAAACCCTTTGATAAAGGAGGCTTATCTATTAAATAAAACTTTACATGAAAATGGCACATATACCTGGTTTAGTTATGTTAATGATGTGACATTAGACAATGATTTACATCAAATTGTACAGGATCCTGACGCATTGTACAGTAATTACCGATTTAAAATTAAAACCAAGCAAAATATAAAAAAAGATATATGAGATAATATTCTTTAATAAACTAAGAAATGTAACCGAAAGTAATAAATTATTCATGTATAAAGACTTAAAGATGGCGTATGTCCCTGAAAAATACCTTAATATTAACAGTAGTAATTTAAGGAAAATGTTTACTTCATTTCGTATATATGAACACAAGCCGGAGCTAGCCATGGGGCGTCTCAAAAGTATACCAAGAGACCAGAGACACTGTAAACAATGTGGTGTGTTAGAAAATGAAGTACACTTCTTTTTTCACGGTTCCCTAAATGAATCTGCATTCCTAATCACAATGATGTTACCTTAGATACCAATTATTTGACCTCAATATTATCTACAAACAACTCCCAATTTATACTGGACTCTTGCTTATTCATTAAACAGTCTCTTGAACTGAGGAGAGTGGGCTTGCTGACAGTATAAGGTATGGACTTTTCAGCTAAACATGTCTAAATCATATTTTCTATTTGAAGCTATGTTAATTTTGTTAATGTTAATGTACAATCATGTATTTAAGAAATATAAGCAATCACTTTGCGACTTTTCTACATGTACATGTCTATGTATATATTTCACTGGTTTTTTTCTATTTTGCCTTCAAACTACTTTGTAGTTACAAATGTGCAAATAAAATGTTGAATTTGAATATACAATTAATTCTGATTCTCAAAGTAATCATGTAAAATAAAGTTCTCTTTGCTATTTAAGTACTTTATTATGCAACTTGTTCATTACATCGACCTCTAGACAAAAGTATTAAAAATAACTTGGACATGGACAAGGATGGCTGTCCAGTGGATAAGTTTCAAATAAACTACATAATCCGTTCAATCAGTAAAATGTTTTTCAAATCAAAGTTAAAGACCCACAGCAATTAATTTCATAAAATTTCTCAATACCACACAACCCATAATTATTCACAGATTACCAAAACAATCTCAGAGTTTTTCCTTTCTCTCAGTCCCTCGTGTATCTTTAAAAGGAAGTTTAATTAAGACGCCCCCTATTAGGTACTGTTTAATCAATCCACCTTCCGATGCAAGGGAAGTAACTCTTACTCAATTGAGTTACCAGTATACAACACTTTTGACATTTTCAAGTTAACATTTGACGAACACATTCGTCGACGAAACAAATTTCGCACATTGAGCCTGCAAACACATTTGCCAGGCACACACATCGTCTTTCTTCAATAAAAACATATATTTATTAAGAATAGATGTAATTATATATAGATGGTCGATTTTAAGATTCAAGATTGTTTATTCACTCCGAACACACATTTCGTGTGTAACAGGAGGTCAATCTTCGGATACATTTTATAATCGCAGACCAACTAAATAGATTGGTGCATTTTAAAGCAAATGCATACATACAAAGCATACATACTAAGCATAGCATAGCAAATCATAGCATGCATACATATAGTATCATACATTCATATAATATCATACATACATATAACATCATAGATACCTATAATAGCATGCAAACATACATATAATAGCATACATACATACATACATACAACAGCATATATGCATACATATAACAGCATACATGCATACATAAAATAGCATACATACATACATACATACATACATACATACATACATCCATACATACATACATACATACATACATGCATACATACATACATACATACATACATATAACAGCATACATGCATACATAAAATAGCATACATACATACATACATACAACAGCATATATGCATACATATAACAGCATAAATGCATACATAAAATAGCATACATACATACATACATACAAACATACATAAATACATACATACATACATACATACATATATACATACATACATACATACATACATATATACACATACACATATATATATACATACATACATACATACATACATATAACAGCATACATACATACATATAACAGCATACATACATACATACATACATACATATAACAGCATACATGCATACATGTAACAGCATACATGCATACATATAACAGCACACATGCATACATAAAATAGCATACATAAAATAGCATACATCCATACATTTAACAGCATATTTACATACATACATCTAACAGCATACATGCATACATATAGCAGCTACTTCCGTTAGTTTAAACATCGAAGTGGGGGGGTGAAGTGAATTATTACCTTGGAATAAAGATAATCCATATAGTGTACTTCTCCTTGTTGCTACAGGTCGGTTGGAATCTTCAAAGGATTTCCGCTCCTCCTCTGTAACCTATTTAAATCGGGAAGGCGCTGTTCTGTTGGCAGGTGATTGATGAGGGGGGTCACTCCGGACCGGCTGCCCGGGGGTAGGGATACCGGGGTCAGCACTCGCGGCAAGTTCTTCCTCAATGTCTTGTGCTGATTTCAGTTCAATTATTGATGACAAATCAAGAGTAGAAATAAATCTCTCTACTTCCTCGTCTGACATATCTTGGTGATCGGGTAGTTCCAGCTCAAAAGTTATTGTTCCATCGTCCAGCTGACAGCTAAGTTGTTTTGGGACGTTCATTTTGACAGATGTATCAGACGACAGTGTAACTTCCGTTAACGCTGAGGTGTTGACTTTTTTAAAATATTAATTTACAGCATGCAAATTATGTATCCATAGTACATAAATAACACAGAAATGTACATGTATTTCGGTTAAAATACAAGTTTATTTTAAGATGTAAGAATTAAGCATCTAAGTCGGTCGTTCCGAGTGAGTAGTTTTTGTAGTGTATTACTACGCAGTATGATCAGGTTGCTATGTTTTACATCAGTTCCAACGTGCTGAGACTATATGAACACCTGTGTTATGCATTTATGAATGTAATTTTTGTCAATGGCTCTAAGCATACCGAATGTTAATATATAATTATGTATGCAATACGCATCGTATAATATACCTGATGTAGCTACGATAGATACTATCAGCGATTGGAGGTATCAAGTCATTGTTTTTGTTATCGTTTGCTTTACCTCGCGGTAGTAACATACCAACATGTCCTGTTAATTGTGTTTCCAGTTCTACGCCTCTTCAGAACTTTCTGGATAGTTGTTTCCTAACTGTTGACAATTTAAGTTACGCAGTCATGTTTTTTTTATTGTAAATTCATTTTCCACGGAATATTTGGTTTAGTTTATTTACTCCATATATTCTTTTTTTCTGTTTTCCTTTATCATTAGCTATACTCATCGAACTGCCGTTATCAAACGATGATAAAGTTCCTTAGCATTCAACCTGAATTCATGTAAAAGATCATAATAAACACTTCCACAGTCCATTTGTAAAAACTAGGAATTTTACATTTTTATATCAGAAGTTCATCCTATATATTGATAGTGCACAATTATAATTCTTGTAGAGCAATATCGCCGCCGATCGTAAAATTCAATTCATCATAACTCGGTGAATTTTTCAAATATAAAATTGAAATTTGGTATAGAGGTGTATTATAGTCATTTTAACAATATATCTTCTGATGTTGCTTACTTTATTCTGTATTTTAAATTTTTTGTCTTGCGACACTTGTTGCCACTTAAAGACGCTTGTTGTCGGTTGAAGACGCTTTTAAGGAGGACCCAAACTTGGGAGTCTCAGGTCAGCATCTGAGGAAATCACATGGCAATGCAAGCCTCAGATTTCTCTTATATATCTATTTACGTGTTTATCATATTCATTTATTTAAATATCTTTACCATTACGTGGTTTGTGATGGGTTGTTTTTGTTAATTATAAAAAAACACATGAGTAATGCTATTAGGATTAGTTATATTACATTCAAAGCAAAGTCAAACCAAGTCAGAACTGACTCATATATTGTACTGATTAGCGTACACATCATACTGTAGTCCCTACAATGATTCTACAATAATAGGATAATCACAGTTATAATACAAACAAATGGAATCGCAGTTCTAACACTTATATTAGATACTTAAATGGAAGAATTCATATAAGACATTCATTGTATCAGGTATATTATACATAACTTCTTTTAACAGTGTGTTTTAATGTGAAAACCATGACATGGAAAAATAGCACCTCTTTCATATAAATACGTTAGCGCAGAAAGTCAAATAAAAGTAAACATTTACGACATCGACATCTGGATTTTTAAAGAAAATATGTTTAGAGTTGAAAAGTTCATACACAATAAAAATATTGCACGTTATTTTAATCACCAAACAATTTTTAAGTAACATTATACTTGAAACTAAACAAATGGCATCATAGCTTTAAATAGCCAAGGGAGGAACCACAATTACGTCATACATGTACGTAAACATGAATTAAAGATGTTGCATGATGAACACAAAATCCTCGATTATGCATTTTGTGTACACGCCGTGTACTAATCTGGGTCTAAATCTCCCGCCATTGATTCCATTCTTCTTTCTCCGGATGAAAAGCATCTCGTTGGACAGACGTGCTGTCGTAGTGTCGGATCGAAAGTAAAGAAAAACAAAAAGTTCCAGAAAGCCTGAGAGCTGTCCCCAACACACTGCAGATAGAGTAGTATGTCTGCAACTCTTTGTGGAAGCTGTACGTCAAAAACCTGTGTCAATACACACACATATATTTTATGTAAAATAATACGAATTCCCTTCTTTCTATGATCGGTAGTAGCATTTGCAAGGCAGTTTTTGCGATTTCTGTTTTAATTCAACATGACGGCATATATTTCTCGTATATAAATCAACAGACCTCACAATTTCAATGCCAATTGTATCTATCAAAAGAAACACAAAAATACCGTTACGTGAAAGCAAAGATAAAAAAAACAATATTTAACTCAATGAAAAATACAAAACCTCGACATGAAAGTAAAAAAAAAAAACCAAATAAACTGCAAAAATTGCTTTGAACCTCTGAATACCAAGATCAAAAATGATATTTATGGCACTGTGTGTGATGCCTGTGATTCTCCTCATGCAGTGAAATAAAACGACAATTTTACAAAGCCAATGTATCATCGTTCGGACGTAAATCGTTGAGAGATTCAGTATTTTTATTACTTTTTCACGCTCTTTACGGTATTTGTCAAACTTCGGTATTATCCTAACGTTACTACTTTTTCTTTGACAATTTATCCCACTTCTCGCGGATCTCTTCTTTCTATTACGTTTCTATAATGTGCTTTTTCATGACCTAAATGTTCTGATCGGGATTTAAACATCAGCATGTAGATTAAATTTTAAGTATTCCGTTTAATATTATATATATATATATGCACAATTGTTCTGATTGATTGCGCAATATACAAATGTTATCTTTCCCTTAGTCAATACTATGTTTTAGGACTATTTTACTAAGTACAGCATATCGCTTTTATAAAATTGATAGAACTCAATAGGTCACCCTAGAATTGATTTAAATACAATTCGCATGTCTTGCCTGTTTGAAAAACCGTAGAGTTCCCCAGATCCGCGCAATGACGAGAAACAACCACGATATCCCAAATATGGCGTCTTCGTCTCTGAGTCTATTGTCTGCCTCGCTCCATCTAAGGTATCTACCACGTCGGCGATTCTGTGGAGAAAAGGTTTAAACACTTAAGAAAGGTAAGGTAAAACTTGCGGTACACACTAGATATCATCACAGATATCAGGTACAAACGGTACAAATCGTTAACATTTTTTAAACACAAATAATGGGGCTCTAAATTTCGTGTTTGTGAATTTCGTATGACAGCACATCTACAAAAACAAGATTTATATGCTTGAAATTCATACATAGGATGAAATAATTAATAAATTAACGTATTCTAATATATTGTTAACACATATGTTTGTTCTTTAACAATCCATGATGTGGTAGTAATATTGGATTGAGGTAAAATACTATTTAATACAAAACTTAATTCAAACTCAAAAACGATGAAACGGGGGACAACACAAATGATATATGTCCCACTTTGTATGAGGACTTTACCTCTCTCCATATGGAAAATTTAATCAGGATGTATAAAACCAGGGTAACCATGTACGTCATCACTTCCCAGGCCTTGCCCGTCACCAGCTTCCACATGACGTTGTTGCTGACGTCACTCTTGATCCAACACCAAGGTCCACTCCCGGAGTAATCGTCCTCACCTAGAACACCACTACCTAAAGCCACGACGGTGATCGTCACTACAGGAAAATGGATATGGTACACAATTTATTATGTACACGAACTGTGCTACACCGTAGTAACGACACTTTCAACTACGTATCAAAGAAACTTATGAAATGTTAGAGCAATAAGGAATTATCAAACCTTTGTTGCGAAACGCAAGGAATGCATAAAATTGTAAAAGGTTTGAGAGGCACTTTTACTTTACACTACATTTCTACATACGTTTCGGAAATCTTTAGACATGGAGTTTCATTTTTTTATCATAAATATCACTGATGAGACGAACTGACCATGTGGTATTTCTATGATGAGACGAACTGACCATGTGGTATTTCTAAACATTTCTTCGGGTTAGTAAGTATGGATTGCGAAAAGATTCATGTAGCACAACATATACATGTGTATATGTAACGTTTCGATGACTAGTACGATATGTACTCAGTAACCTTCATCATAAAAATGACCAGTGAAGCGCATGTACACAAAGGTGTAACATATGTACGAGTTGTCCATGTAAATTATGAACAAAGGAAATATTAAGATGGACATCTTTGAAAATTTTAAGAATAAGGCCAAGTATATTGGTTAACGCATTCTGCTTCATTGACAAGAGCCGACATATAAATCTAAATCTAATCCAAGCAATGCTACATCTTCGAAATCATATGTGGGATAGCAACAACGAAACCAGAGAGTATACATATACTACTGAGATTAATTAAACCTTTGACCTTCATACTAAGCAAAAACAGGGATTAGTTTTAATTAATAGCATTCCGAAGCTAATAACTTTTAACACTCTTACGGTTGATTTTTCTTCGCAGTTTTAAAATTCTAAAAATTGAATAATAGCAGTCGTGCTAAAATGACATAAAATGAAATGTTCACTTATTGAGATTTAACATTAACTTAGTAACTTGATCATATTATATTATGGTATCTTGATTTAATATTAAATAAAATGTCTACAATATCAATAAAGGATAGTTAGTAAGCGTAAATATAACCAAAAACACGGTTTATGATTTAAAATATATACATTAAAAAACTGCATTCCTATTTGTCGAAGGTATTTTATAACTGATTTTAGTATTACATGCCGAATTTACATTTGTTTAAACAATTGCACCTATCTTTAGATAAATGAACATACTTTCAAGTAAAGTGAACTTATTTTTAACTGCATAAAACACTTTTACTCAATTTATCGTCTTCAGTTGAAGATATGTTTCATTCGTTGAGTGAAATGTTGAATTAATACTTATTTTCCATTCCATTGAAGGTACCTAAAGTGCAGTTGAAGATAAATCTAACAGTTTAAGATAGATTCAATTATATGCATATATCTTCAATCATTGGAAGATCGGTGTAAATATTTTAATATATGTTAATTTAGTATTTCATCCACAAGGCCGCTGACCAGTGCTCCCTGGAGTAAACATCTAGAGATGGGTGTTTTCACTTCACTCAATGTATATGGACGAAGGTCCTGTCTACTGGACTGGGATAGGGGTCTTAATTACCTGGAATAAGTATTGGAATAGCACTCATCATGATTTTACCGGTACGTTTCTCAGCAATGTTCACTCGGAGTGCGATTGCACTAAAAATGTATATGGCTATGGCTGTCGTCCAGAAAAAGGCACTTAAAGTTGACGTCGTTGTGATAAAACTTTGGGCAACACAGTAAGTATCGTTCTTTTCTTTGTCGTTTCCAATGATAAACCATCTAACTGTACTGATCAAATTGCCGTATGCAGTGAATATGTCGGCTATCGTGAGACAGAGCAGGAGGTATCGGGTGTAGTTCTGTATGTGAGGAACCTGTCGGTATGACCACAGAATAGCCAGACCGCTTATAACTGAGACCGAAGCACTGATACATGTGATGATAGACGTTACCGTAGCTAGGTTAGTGGACATACTCTCTGGTGTTGTAGTCGACATAATGTCGTGTCCTGAGTGGTTTTCCCTATATCTTCTAGAGTTCTGCGGTTTATTGCCAATGTTATGCTTACTTACGTCGTATCAAGCTGAAAGAAGAATAAAACGTGTGTGGTAAACAAAACATGGTGATGTCACAGTAAGAAAACAAACAAATGTTGAGGACAATTACAGGAAGAAATGTTTTGTCATTTCATCAATAAATACATTTGTATAATGTACCAATGGTGGCTCTTCTTGTTTCTGAACCCACATATCAAATGTAAACAACATTGTTCAACTGCAGTCATCGGGGTCAAGGCCTATGGAGATTTAACATTAGCGTCGGCCCCCGCTTAGAATTTAAAACAAGATAACTACAAAAAGGTATGGGTATAGGAAGCTTAAATAAGGATTCGTTCGTTTCAGAATTCATTTTCTGATAAATGGGACCTCATTGACGTACAACTGTGTGGGTGTTAAAGGTGCGGTAACACAATTCTTCTTAGAGCATTTAAATAAAATAATTACCATGAAATTATATCATCATCGTGTGCAACATATTCCAACTTTCATTTTGATACCGAATATTACATTATTTCAAGAAAGAATTGTTCTTTTTATTGAAGATTTAAGCAGAAAAGTATGTGAAATTTCATTACTAATGAGAAAATTTCCATTTTCGACACGTTAATTTACAAAGTTCTAAAACCAGTCCATATTTCATACTTGCTTAAAAGTTGGCTACCAATAATATCTTTTAACATCAGGAATTTCAAGAAAATTGACAACCGGTAAATTTGTCATATAACACTTTTGATTCAAAAAAAGAAATACATAACTTTCTTTCCATTTTTCCTTTAACTTGTGTTTCTTCATGACCAAAAGTCCTTTTGTCTTGATATTTGGCAAGTAGGTTGTTCATGTGAATATATTTAAATTTTGTAAACGTTGATGACCTTGATTTTCGCTCAAGGTCACAAAAATCAAATGTGCTGAATTATTTTTGTATGGGGAGTCGGACAAGGATACCTTTCCTTGCTTTATTTGTTTAGAGTTAACGATATAAAATAATGTAATATTCCTCCATATTTTGTTTAATGAATGGGCAATAGGCCAAATAAAATAATAACTAGAGCTGTAAGCCTAAGACTAACTAATACCCCCACTCCTTAATAGCCCAGAATGTAAGCTAAAGGCTAACTAAGGCAAAGCATTGCAAAGCAATACATAGTTCACCCCTCCCCCCCAGTGACTCACTGACATACTTCCTGTACTCCCTCCCCATGCCGAAACATACTTCCTTACCAAATCTTGTTAGCCCCGATGAACCAGTTTTGCTTAAGTCGTCCTAGTGGTTAAGGAACAGTTGTCAAGACAAAGATTTTTAACAAAAGGTCATAACTCCTTAAAAAGGGTCGAAATGAAAAAGTGCTACCCTGATGCACGTACCCTGATGCACGACATCAGGGGGTAATTACCATATCTGTAAACATTCATTGAAAGCGGCCCAGTATTTTATGAGGCAAACAAAGGTTCTTTTTCTACAAAGGGCCATACTTTCTTTTTAAAGGTTCGGAATGTCAGGGTGCAGTTACCGTATCTGTACACTTTCTTTGCTGCATAGTTGTGGAGGAGTTGTCAGGACAAGTATTTTTTCAACAAAGGGCCATTACTCCGTTAAAAAGGGTCATATTGAAAAACAATAATACCTGGATGCACACCATCAGGTGGAAGTTATTATATGTGAAAACTTTCGTGAAATTGACCCTTTAATTTTGGAGGACATGTCTGGACAAAAAAAATCATCAAGGGGCCAGAACTCTGTAAAAAAAAAGGATCGGAATGAAAACATTTTACCTGTATGCATAATTTGAGGTAGTAGTTATCATATCTGAACAATTTCGCTGAAATTGGTCACTACTTTAGAAGGAGTTGTCCGGACAATATTTTTTCTACGGACAGACAGACAGACAGACAGACAAGCTGATTCCAGTATACCCCCTAACTTTGTTGCAGGGGGTATAATAATGTGTATAAAAGTTTTACTATTAAGATTTTTTGATTATTTTTATATAATTGCATATCGTTGTCTATAACACAATCTCAACCTTACGTAGTTCTCCAGAAGAAAGATTACTTTGGCAGAATACATACTCATGAGGTATAACTGCTGCACATAATTTTAAAACATGCGTAATATATTAAAGTCTTTTGTTATGATACAAAAACAGAAAATGTATCGGTTTTTACTATAATAAACATTGATAATCAAATCTTCAAGATTATGTGAAATTGGGCATTGATCACGTTTGGCATGATAATATAGTACTTAACCGTTTTTTTTATTGCATAAAAATGATTCAGGAGACAAAATACAGATATGATTTTTTTTTAAAGAAGTTTAAAATATAGACTACCACTGTAACTATGTATAGGCAAGCTCGCAATGTTGATTATATTGAAAATTTTGTGAAAATTTTGCATGTTTTTCTAAATAAAAGTATCACTACGGTTACTTTATATATACCAAATTGACATATCAAGTATCAAAATAACAGTAATTTCATACACAGTACATAGAGATTATTATCATATGTTTACTAATAATACCACCCTTTTTGTATATGTGATAAGTCTAAAATTTCCACAAGTTGATATCAGCCCGGGTGATATCACACCCCTTGGAGTGATATCACACCCCCTTGAAAGTGATATCACACACCCTAAAAAAGTGATATCACACCCCCTCCTAAATTTCCGGATTTTGCCGTTTCGCTTATTGTTGTCTGCTTTTAATGTAAACAAACGAATTGTTGGCATGGAATAGATGTCGTTTCATGGAAAATAATTTAAAGATTGATTTACAAAGCCCCACCCAAATTTCCGGATGGCGCCGCTTCCGTATTTGGATTTGCTTATTAGTGATACACCTGCCCCCTGCGTAAACAAAAACAACAATGGCGACGTCTATAGCTAGTACTGGCGAGGAGATGTTAGAGGAACTGGCATCAAGGATTGTTGAACTAGATGAATTAATCCTGGAAAAGGAGACGAAACGTGTAATGGATGCAGGGGGGCGATTGAATAATGCTAGTTAATGATACCGAAGCTTTCGTGGAACAAGGAGGAACAAGGATACATTTCCTCATCTTTCATGAGGAACAAGAATACTGCGAGAAAAACGCAATCCGACATCAAAATTTTCACGGATTATCTGATGTCTCAAATCGAGTGGAGATCTCCAGAGTCTATTGACTCGGTTCAGTTGGCGGATTACATGGTCAGGTTCTTCATGAACGTCAGAAAAAAAGATAAATCTGAGTACGAACCATCAAGTCTGAGGTGTTTACAATCGTGTGTGTATGTGTGTGTATCATATTGTATGTTGTCTCTGTATTGTTTTGCATATATGTTATAACTGATAATATAAGTCAACCGATTTAAAGTAATAAAGAACTTGAACTTGAACAATCCAGCATTAACCGTTACCTACAGAAGAAACACTACGACGTCAATATTTTGACCGATATTAAATTCAAACATTCTCGTGATGTGCTAAGTGCCAAGTGAAGAATTTGAAGATTCAAGGCAAAGGAAACCGCCCAAATGCTGCTGATTCACTAAATAAGGAAGAAGTGTCAATTCTGTATGAAAAAGGGGCGCTTAGTTTAGGTAGGTACAGTATTTAAATGAATAATAAATAGTTCTATAAGCTTGGTAGCTGTTGGTTCTAGTTAGTATTACTGTAATCATTAAGTGATTAATGCCCAATGAATATTGAAAATTGTATTGTGTTGATGATCGATTCAGACAGTGATTTAATTGAATTCCAACCAGATCCATTGTGTTATATTGTTAAAACTATTAATAACCATGTTATTTTGTAGGAATTTAGGAATTTCTAAATGTTGACTTTTTATGATAGTTGTTACTGTTTTGTTTATCAGTATACATCATTGTTTTTGTTATCATTTTTATGAAAATCAATAAATAAAATAAAGAAATGATTCGTTTGTGTATGTTTTGTTTATTTTAAAGGAAAAAAACATATGATAAAAAACTTATGATATGACCATTTTGATAGCACACCCCATATCAGCCCTCGAGTCCTGATATCAGCCCTCTGGTCTTCGGCCCTCTGGCTGATATCAGGACTCTCAGGCTGATATGGGGTGTGATATCAAAATGGTCATATGATAATCTCTAAATACATGCCTTTTTCCATATCACACCAAGTATTAACCCGAGACTGCAATATCAGCCGTAGGCCCGAGGGCTGATATTGGTCGAGGGTTGATTCTGGGTGTGATATGGAAAAAGGCGTGTTTTATTCTGTTTATTACATACTTACTAATAAAAACTACTATCTTATGATTTATTTTTATATTTGAAATATTGAAAAACGATTATTTTCCAAAATGGGTTTGATACAGGTTTTGCGGGCTGATACGGGTTTTGGGGTGTGATACGGCGGGGGCTGATACGGCTTTGGGGTGTGATACGGCGAAGGCTGATATGGATTAGAGCAATTGTGTCGTATTGCATATACACAAAAAACGTATTTATTAGTAAGTATGTAATAAACTATCATAATTCATGTTCAAAATAGCATTCGCCTATGACATTTATCTATCATTTTGTTAGGGTACCCCCATCACTTAACCTGGTGTTATGCAAGGAGGTCCACTACGGTTTTCAGTAGTAATTATGAATAATCATTTATGCAGTTATTGATCATTTTTATGTATCTTCATATGGCAAAAGAATAAAAGAAATCGAAGTGGGGGCCAAATGTTGACCCCACCTTTTCCCACTTTTTTATCCATTCCGGTCTCCCCTCTGCGTCAACGAAAACCCATCATTTATTTTATCATCGTTGAATTGGCATGGTCAAGAGATGCTACATTAATATGCATATACTCGTACTTATATTATGTATTGAATAACGCATATCAACCTCTTTCTCCTTATTGAACCTCACCACTCTTTCCCCAGATAGTTACGCCATCAACTTTCACAACGCTGAATCCCTTTTACCAAAGTATCCCCCAAAAATTGTTTAAATTACTTTATCCGTAGCCAGGGGAGAAATATGTTAAAATTCCCCTGTAATACCCCTAATGAGCCCGGTTCTAGTGCTCTACTTGCATGCCCTCTATTCAAATACTGATTAGTTTCAATGACCCAACGATCCTCCAGCCCAAGGCCAATTGACATAACAACACAAGGAGTCAGATGGATCTATGTTCCCTTATTGGGTCCTGCTTTTCTACCCCAAATGAGGAAGGGAGCGGCAATACCTTGTATCTACTCAAAGTTTAATCTTATTGTTCACAGGATTATTCTTCAACCCATGATTTAGTGATTTAGGGTAAATTCCCATTCACTTGTACGTATTTAATAAGTAACTTCCTGGTTTAATAATGTTTTATCGAAAAGGTGATGTGTTATCCTAGGTTATTTAACCAGGAAACAGAACATAATTACAAATTCAAAGCATGTTTACTTTTAAATAGAAAGTACAGTTACTATCAAACTACAACAACACAGCATGTGCATGGTAGCTGTACAGTATGTATAGACATATAATAATGTATTATGTAACGGATAGCAGTACTGTCACAGATAACGGCTTGTAGTGTACATACAGGAGTCATACTTACATACTGCGACGGCCGGCGGGGGTATGTGCTTTTTCACAGATTACCTCAAGTTTTTCTCACCACATCAAACTAACAGGTATTACATAACTATCACAGCAATTCGCTTCTGTGTGCTCTTTCAATCCTCGATTGAGACATCTTTTCGGAAGGGAATTTCAGGCCTAAAAATGTGTTGATTTTGCATAATGTGTCTTCAACAGATCTAAAGTAAACACAAGTCTTGAGTCCATTTCCGGCAGGCTGAGGCCATTCTGCGGGGTTTCTCCTAGGCACACACACATACACATCTGCACTCTAATTTAAACGTTTGTGTTTTGCCTATTCATCATTACCAAACTATCACAAATCAAAACATATCGTTACATATTTTGTTCATGAAACTCCAAAAGAATAAAAAAAAATGTCATTTTCGGGCAAGTTAACTTAACATTTATTTAAGGGATATTGCCGATCCTTTATTTTATCTAATTGGATATTATATATCATTCATATACCCTATAGGATCATTTCTTGTTCTTTTCTACATATCTTATCTAATATATTCTCCTTTTAAGACGTCCTATTTTATGAAAAATCTTTCAAAAGAAATATATATATTATGAATGTATACAAAATGTCTTATGGAAATTATAGTTTCTTTATAAGATAACTAATTTGAACGCGTTGCTATCTTATCCTGAACGGGATTTTGCTTTTTATAAAAACCCTCACGACAGCTAATGTCAGAAAATACAGAGTAAAACAACGGCGATAGATTTCTGGCTAAGGCAATTTACATTGGTTTGTTTTAGACTTTCGATTCCATGCTTTGATTTTCCTTATAGGATATATCATAATTATATAAGACAAGCTATGGCTTGTACACAATATGTTATAAAATATGTAATAAATAGAGAAACTATATATCTTATGAAATATATTATATGTCTTATTAACGAAAAGATATATAAAAGAAATATGATATGACATAGAATATGTGTGATAAAAAATAAGTTTTTCTTATATAAAATATTTGATAATATAGGATAATTTGAACACTAAAATTTTCTTTCTCTCATAAACATTAAAAAAGAAAATATGGTCAGTTAGATGAAATAGTCTCTATTGAAACCATGATAGGGACACAAGGTTACTTTCTTTTTTAGACCAGATAATAGGTTTTTATTATGTATATTATGTACAGCTTCCAGTAGTTATCAGCACACTCTGATATGTCAGCTATACCTCAGAGGAAATGTTCACTAACCTCTCTACAGAGATGTCTCTGTTAATGTCGTAAGGTTTTGGCAGAGAGCGTAAGTGAGCTTAACATCTTGAGTATTGAGGATGATGTCCGTTTCCTTTTTATATTTTCAACGAGTACATTCCTTATTTCAAGGTTGTGATGCTTATTTTATCAAGTTACGCCAGCCATACAAGCACTTTAAGATTTAAGCTCGAAAAATTACTTTACCGTCGACTCTGCTAGTTGTTCAATCAATCCTTTTCCCTGCCAGGGCAGTAGATTGTCCTTCTCTGTAAACATGTCAGGTTCGATATTCCATTCCATAGATTTACATAGCGCGTTGTTGAATGTTCTCGTACAATTTTACGACACGGTGATTCGAGATATGCAAGTTAGTGAAACGTATGGGCCAGTTCTACAGGCACCATCAATTTAATTGTGCGATATGTTATTGAGATATGCTCATATGTGTTTCTTTTGTAGATTTTGTCTCTTTTTGAGAACGTGGCATTTCATGGATTTAAGTTTTTATTTCCACACCCTCAGAACACCTCATCATACCCTCATTGTGCCTTTTCAGGGTCTGCCCGTTAGTTACACATTTCCACACCCTCAGAACACCCCATCATACCCTCATTGTGCCTTTTCAGGGTCTGCCCGTTTGTTACACATTTCCACACCCTCAGAACACCTCATCATACCCTCATTGTGCCTTTTCAGGGTCTGCCCGTTCGTTACACATTTCCACACTCTCAGAACACTTCATCATACCCTCATTGTGCCGTTTCATGGTCTGCTCGTTCGTTACACATTTTCACACTCTCAGAACACCCTATCATACCCTCATTGTGCCATTTGTGGGTCTGGGCGTTCGTTACACACGTTTTGCTTAAGCGTAATTGCTTTTCATTAAGAAATATTGCTTTGTTTACAAGCAAGTATTCTCTTATTTTCAGGTCAGCGTTTTCTCTTATCAGAAACTCTCAATAAATATAGGTGTTATTTATTCTACAACAACACTTAAACAGGTAGGAAATATTTTCATCAGTCACTCTTATCAGTCCGGACGTGAGCGAGCAAGGGGGTCCTCATGTCAGTCCGGATGTGAGCGAGCAAGGGGGTCCTCGTGTCAGTCCGGATGTGAGCGAGCAAAGGGGTCCTCATGTCAGTCTGGATGTGAGCGAGCAAGGGGGTTCTCATGCGGGAGTAAACAGGAGTACTCACAAGAAAATAAGTACAGAACCCCGGCCTCCTTTATGAAAAGCGAGTGCGCTATATCCACCATACTTCCTGAACACCCTTATCGCTGATCTCACTTTGGTCAGTTAAGGGTGTAAATACATGTATAACGTATCGTTATATTATTCATTGAGTTACTAGGAAAGATCTTCTCGTTTATTGCACAATGATAAAATGCGGCGATGAATACGCTACATGTAGCGTCCCTGTGTATGTTTGTCAATTAACATTGCTTGTCGTTAACAGCTCACGACTTCGGTCAGTCTAGGCCATTGCATTGAGTTAGAATAGTCAAAGGTCAGTCTTCAGCTGTACCTGTAATATTGCCACAAACGTTTCGTCACGTGCATGTCCCTTGTGTTCAATGTCAGTGAAGAATACAATGTAATCGTCACACAGACATATGCTATTTTTCGGGAAAGTGCATTACAAGAGGAACAACACCTATCTATCAAAAGTGCAGCTATATGTATATGTAACCTGGGTATATATGTGATTGGTATATATATTACAACGAGTGCTGTCAACTGTCTGTATACACGTATATTCACATTCTGTGTTGCATTTGCCTATATGTCGTTAGTAAACCAAATTGCAGTATTTGAGACTATACACTACAAATTACAGTGATACGGCCAGTGTAGTAATATAGCTCACGGCTGGTACAAGGTAAACAAAAATGGCCGCCAGTCACATCCGATATCAATAGGCCTATAGTCAGAGAACTTTCTGGGTTCGTTAGCGTTAAGCAATGTACAGGTTATTGCAAAACATAAAGCAACTTAACAAATTATGACAATATAAATTTATTATAAGATGTGTAGGTACCACAAAATTATTCTAAGCGCCATTCTGGTGACAGTTCAAAGCTTAAGTGTTCATGGGCGGGTCCAGGTGAGGGCGTAATTTTTTCAAAAAAAAATAAAAAAATATCGTAATCTGCTAATATTATTGAATATGGCAATTTATCATATTCATTAATTAAACACATACTCTGACACTTTAACTATAAAATATACATGCTACAAGTCAGGAATTAGTGTATTTCACAATTATTTTATGGTTTTTAGAAAAAAAAAAGGTCCAAACATGTTTTCCCTCGCTCCGCTCGGCGAAAGATTTGATTCTACGCCCCCTCTTTCAAATATCCTAGAAACGCCCCTGGTGTTGTCCCGTCTGGTAATAGTAAAAGAAAGATGATGGAATACACATCTTGTACGTGTTTTTGGTATTTATACTGAGCAAATGGTAACATATATATAATAGAATAATAAATTTGTAAGATCTACGTCCAGGCCTTTCTGCCTTCTAGGACTTTTTAAGGCGGAATTACTATCATTATTATTATGAATGGCCTACCGGAAATAACAAGCAAATATTTACAAATGTTTACCGGTTCGAACAACCAGGACTGCGACGCTCTACAGTAAGATTTGCGTAAGGCCCAGACATGGAATTACAAGTGACGATAGCATTACCTTTATATAAAACCTAGTAGATGGTAAGGAACTTCCATTTGCTGCAAACGAAAAAGATATAGGTGTAACAATTGATAACAAACTGTCATTTGATGTACATATATCTGAAAAATCAATAAAGCGAATTCGATTATGTGTGTAATTAGGAGAACTAATGGAATCTATAGAACCATAATATTAATACATTCAAAGCTCTGCACAAAAAACACGTAAGACCTAATCTTGAATATGACAACCAAGTTTGGAGCCCGCACCTGATAAAACATATAGAAGCCATTGAAAACGACCAGAGAAGAGCCACTAAATTGATACCGGGTATGACAGACCTGTCCTACCCAGAGAGACTTGAGGTATTGCAGCTCCTAACATTGGCTTACAGACGTGTCAGGGGTGACATGGTGGACCTTTTTATAATAATGTGAGGCAAATTTAATCCCGAAGTGTCCAAGTTCATGTCACAAAAGAAGAACAATACTGTTACAAGGGGTCACAGGGACGTAACCAGGCGTACGCACGGACGCACGGGCTTCCACGTAATTTTTTCAAGTATACTTTTAACAAGGATCACATTGTAGAACTTTATGTGATAAAGTTTAACAACACATATAATCCTGGGCCCTCAGTGAATTCATTATCTCATTGATATTGTTTCTTTTATTAACTATTTAACGAAAATGTTCCTTGTTCATATGGAACTAATTATTACGCATTTGATAAAATATACTACAAGCCAAATATGAAAATTATAGGTATTTTATGTCTCACCGAACCCACCCCCTTCTCCGCGCTTCGTATGCTTCCACATACTCATAGTCCTGGTTACGTCCCTGGGTCATGAGTATAAACTGTTCAAGGATCGAACGCCTATAAACATGAGAAAGAATACAGTTTGTCACAGAACTGTTGACATCTGAATCAAGAACTATCAATTCTTTCGAGTCTTGCCTAGACCATCACTGGAGAAACCAACCGATACTCTATAATTTTATTATCGAACTAATGAATTAATTATAATTAATTATCAAATTAATATTGTTAACACTTATTACTCTAATTTGGAATTTATGTATAATTTACTTTTTCATCTCAACTATTAATTATTAATGTTATTCAAATGTCCATGCACTTGTCAGAATTAGCTTAAACCGTATTGAGCTGATAGCAGAGGATTTTCTGTAAGTCCTACAGTCAAAATAAAATCTGTGTATGTGTTTATTGTTGACCAGAGTGATATCAGCGATAAGAGTGTTAAAGTGGTAAAGTGGTTCTTCGATGCCCCGATAAGACGTTC